GGGGGTCGGGTAGCCCCGCGGCGGGGGTCCGGGGGTGAAACCCCTACCCTGGCTTGGGCCCCGGGGATCCCCGCGTGACAACCCTGACGATTGTTGACCTTTGCAAGTACCTTGCGAAGATCGACTGCGAGGATGCAACACAACGGTATGACAACATCGACACCCTGTTGCTTTACATCCGCATTCAGATCAGAAAGGCAACCTGCAGTGCCTTGATTGATTGTGGAGCTACTCATGATTACAGCAGTCAAGATTCCATCGCTCGCGCCGGTCTTAGGCCGTGCGTTCGAAGTCACAGTCCACGAAAGTTACATTGACTGACGGTTGCACACACAAGTTCAGTGACCGGCGCATCGATGCTATCCCTGTGTACTCTGCCCCAGATGCTCGTGGGGCCATGCCTTCGACATTTTGGACACTAAGTTTGACATGATCTTAGGCATGTGGTGGCTGTGAAGCGAGGACCATGCGGTTAATTTTATCGTCACATGGTTCATGTTCATGACATCTACAATGAGCTTGTTCCATGCACGGTTCCTCCTCCTCACCCTTCGATTGGCTGTCGCGTGGTTTCCGCGGCTAGTATTCGCGCTTCGATCGCACGGGATAACATCGAAGATATGTGCGTTTGTTTCTTGCACGCCCTCCCTCTGCCAGACACACCATCAACGGACGCCGCATTGGATCCACGAGTTGTTGAGCTTCTAGATGCCTATGGTGATGTCTTCAAAGCTCCTGCCGAAGTTGTGCCGGATGGGCCCATAGGCCACAAGATCATTCTTGAGGATGGTGTCATACCTCCACGTGGATGTATTTACCACATGAGCGAGGAGGAACTCGAGGTGCTTCGTGCACAACTTATCGGCTTCATTGCAGAGGGTTGTATTACCTCGAGTTGCTCGCCCTACTATGCCCCCGTTCTCTTCGTCGAGAAGAAGAACTAGGACTGGTGTCTATATATTGGTTATCACAACCTTAACGTAGAAACTGTTAAGAATGTCGGCCCACTCTCACGCATCAATGATCTTCTCAAACGTTTGAGCAACACCAAGTATTTCTCGAAAGTTGACCTGAAATCCGGTTATCACCAAATCGAGATCCACTCAGAAAATCGATACAAAACCGCGTTCGAAGACGCGGTATGGGCACTTGAAGTGGGTCGTAATGTCATTCGGCCTCATGAACGCCCCTGCCACCTTCCAAGCGGCAATGAAGATGGAGTTCTGGGACAGGTTGGACCGGTTTGTGCTTATCTACCTAGACGACATCTTGGTGTATAGTTGGACCTTAGACGAGCATATCGAACACCTAGCACCCTTTTGGATCGGCTTCGTATGGCCAAGTACAAGGCTAAACCACGACAAATGTGAGTTTTCCCGTCAAGAACTAGAGTACTTGGGCCACTTTGTGATGGCGCAGGGCGTCCGTCCGCTCGCGGGAAAAATCCAGGCCATCCAAGATTGGCTGGAACCCACCAACACCACAAGGTTCGCTCCTTCTTGGGATTGGCCAAGTATTACCAACGCTTCATCGACGGCTACGCACGGATCACCGCACCTTTGTCACGACTTCAGTCCTTGAAGGTGCCATTCGAGTCTACCGATGAAGTACGGAATGCATTCCACAAGCTTAAGACAGTGATGCTTATGGCTCCCGTGTTGAGCATCTATAACCCCACCTTGTCGACAAGAGTGCCTATGGACAACATTGGTGCAGTCTTGGAACAGCACGATCGTGTAGATTGGCATCCGGTTGAACCTCCGATCGACTCGCTTGATGATGCGAGGAGGGAGTTGCTTGCTTTCGTCACGGTAATCAAGTGATGGGGACACTTCCTCCTCGGGCGTCGTAGGCTCACATGGGTGGTCGGCAACAATCCGTTGATCTACTACAAGACGCAAGACACAATGAGTAGCACGATTGGGCCATGGATGGCTGGGTATTACCAACGCTTCATCAATGGCTACGCACGGATCACCGCACCTTTGTCACGACTTCAGTCTTTGAAGGTGTCATTTGAGTCTATCGATGAAGTACGGAATGCATTCCACAAGCTAAAGATAGTGATGCTTATGGCTCCCGTGTTGAGCATCTATGACCCTACCTTGTCGACAAGAGTACCTATGGACGCTTCCGGCTACAACAATGGTGCAGTCTTGGAACAACACGATGGCGTAGATTGGCATCCAGTTGAATACTTCAGCCAAAAGGTGCCTCCCATCAACTCGCTTGATGATGCGAGGAAGGAGTTCCTTGCTTTCATCACGGTAATCAAGCGATGGGGACACTTCCTCCTCGGGCATCACAGTTTCACATAGGTGACCGAGAACAATCCGTTGATCTACTACGAGACGCAAGACACGATGAGTAGCACGATTGGGCGATGGATGTACTACATCGACGAATTTGACTTTACACCGAAGCATATTTCAGGTCTCTCCAATCGAGTGACGGATGCTCTCTGGTGACGGCCCGATCTTTGCGCACTGACGCATCACGCCTTCGCATTTGACAAGGAGCTAGATCAGCATTTCGTACGAGGAAACAAGCCCAATCCGGAGTTCGCATCACTTTGCAAGGAGCTCTCTTCAGATAATCCGTCGGCCAGCCACTACCACATCATCGATGGGTACTTGCGTCTAAATACACGAGGCAAGGATTTGCTATGCGGACCGAATGACCGCAGGTTACGGACTCACCTCCTTGATGAGTACCACGACGCATGGCTCGCCAGACACTTCGGAGTCAATTGCACGGTCACACGACTTCGTCAGCGATTCCATTGGTCCGATGTCATTACCAACGTCATGCAGTATTGCAAGTCTCCACGTAACAAGCAACTGCAACCCATACGACGAGTTGCGACCGTTGTCGATCCCCGGTGTTGGCGCGAATACCCTTACAAGGGTAAACATCCAGATCATATTCTAGATATCCAATATATGATAATTATCATTATAATAATAATTATCATATTGTATATCTTTCACTTGCCCTGGTTTTTGCAAGTGACGGAAAATAAGTTTGGTTTAAAGTCTGAGTATACCGCGCAAGTCGCGGCTGTGTTTTGAGTACGTTGACTAAATGGTTGACTATAAGTAGACAGTGTGTGAGCGCGCAGGCTTAAGGCGTGCGTGATCTCTCTCTTTGTTGATGGTTGTAAACCCGACGTGATTGG